CTCCAACCTAATACTTGCGAAATATGTCCTGGGTGTACGGATAAGGCAATGCAACAGTGATGCCAATGCTATGCCACCATCAAAAAAGTCAGGCGATCCTGAAAGGCTCAAAGTTTTACGATCTCTCGAATAGGACCAAACGATAAATGGAATGAATTGACAAAGATGACCTATCCAACCATAACATTTGGGTTTAAGCAAGTTTCAGAGGGTGAATCATCTGCGTTCAGTGCGGTTAATGTTTGATGTGAATTTACACTACGAATAAAATTTCCGAAAAAGAATAAACCGAAAGTGATTACTATTCCTATCATTGCATGCCTTCGAACGTGACCGGATCATCTCTAGTAATCGGATACCATCAACAAAGGGAACACTTTGAAGTGTTCATTGGCTAACGGTAGCTAGCAATAGGGGACCAAAGGCCAGACTAAAGACACATAGTACGTTCACACACATTCAGGGTGCATTTTAGCTGCTGCAATATAAGAAATGAAGTTGATGACGACGGCCAGTACTCAAGAGTAACTGCGCTGCTTGTGCAATATCCCTCGGAAGGCGCGCATTCCCACAAACATGAAAATAAAAACGGACCAGGCGTTTCTCTCAAGTAATCTCTTGATGCGAATAACATTTGCGGTGCTGCTCAATGTCACAATAGAGAGTGATGAAGATGATAAAGGCTAGAAATGAAGAACAAATAATGATCCGGCTCGAACGGCTCTAAAGCTATAGAAATACTTCAAACTAACGAGTGGGACGCTTAGGCCGTTTTTATTGTCATGTTCTGTGGGAATGCGCGGCCTCTGAGGGATATTGCAGAAGACAGGGAAATCCACGACACACTCAAATAAACAAAAAGTGGAACGCTTACAAAAAGTGGCATGAAAAAGAAAAATAGTAGCACTAAGTTTGCAATTAACTGACCACTTGTTTCTTGGACTGCTTCGGACTCTTCCTCGTCCTCGTCGACAGTAGGATGATAGTGAGCACTAGTTACATGAAAAAGCGAGAATCCATTCGAAGAGTACACCATGCAGTCCTTGTTCAGTAATGGTGCCAATTCCGTTGTCCATATCGATATGAACCAGGCCAACATCTAAAACAATACAGGTGTCATTATGAACATGATCATGAACAACATTATGAAAATAATTAGATCGCTGACGAACTCTATAGAAATGTGATATTCGGATATTCGGAGCCATACAGATCAATGAACATCAAGGCTCGGAGAGGTTCACAATACAACTTGCAAGAACAAGTTTAAACAGAAAAGAGAGAAAGTAGGGAGGAAGGAAAAAAAAGAGAAGGTGGCGGTTGGTGTTTGAAATCGTGGACTTTACAGGGCACAGCATTCGATGGGGATTTTGGTCGAGCTCTGTACGACCCCCCCCCTTTTTGGGGGGTTCGGTACGACCCCCCCCTTTTTTTGGTTTGGTTTTTTTCACACAAAAACACAAGCTTCAGACTTCAGCTTCATTGTAAAACAAAAACAACTATATACATGGGAAAAAAAACTAAAAACCACTATACAAAACCACTATATACAAAAACTACTAAATCAAAAAACAACTTCAGTGAATAGGACATAACGAAAAATAAACAAGAGGATCCCACCCTCCCTACCCGTTCCGCCACCGCCAACGAAGCCCTCCCTCCCGCCCGCAACGAAGCCCACCCTCCCGCCCGCCTTCCCGGCACCTTCACACGAACAGGTGCCAGTAGCTCGCTTCCATCTTCTAAGATCTGCGGGTCGTTAACTCGCGTCCGACTCAAGTGCTTCAAGTTTCCCTGGTTCACGTCGACACGTTTCTCGCAACAGCTGTAATGAATTTTTACTGTGATCTGATAAATCAATCATTTGAGGAGAGACTAAGTGGTAGAAAATAGAGCTACGAAGCATAACATACCAGGCAATAAATGGAGGCACCGAAAAGTGAAATAGTGATCAACAGTAGAAGTTCTCCCAGAAAAGCAGTGCAATTCAATTCGCGTAGAATTTTTATGGAATTCCATGCAACTGTCATGTTAAAAACCTGTACAGCTCAGGCAACTCACTGCAAAAAAAAGTAAAGAGTGAGTCACCTCCGATAAGTCCAAACAACAGAAATGACACGATCTCTTCCTGATGATCGTGTTTCCTCTAAGGAAAAGGAACGCAAAAACAACAGAAATGGAGCACGTTAGGAGTAGATGCAACGGAACGAACCTTTTCCCTTGACGAAACACGATCTCTTCCTGATGATCGTGTTTCCTCAAGGGAAAAGGAACGGGCAAACAGGAACGGAAATACATTGTGATTTCACTATTCGTTTCGGCGAAAACGGAGAAAACAATAGATGCGAATCGAAATCGAAATTGAGAAGCCGCTATGAACACAAAGGAAGATAGGAGGAAAAGAAAAAAACAAACAGGAACAATAAGCATTGTGGCTATAGAAAGCAAACGCAATGTGACAAAAGTAAAGTGAATATCTGGAGGACTGGCAAAATCGGGGGAAGGAAGAGCAACAACATCATTCGCTTTTGAAAGTTCTGCGTGTCTTACTTTTAGAACAAGATTTTTTGCGTTCATAACTTTTTCCTAGTTTTAGTGAGCGTTCAGGAATAGCTTTGAGTTGTTATTTATTGTTCCCTACGTGAATCTGAAAAAAATCGAGAGGAAATAAACACAACTCAAAGCTATTTTGAACGCTCACTAAAACTAGGAAAACTTATGAGCGCAAAGGAAGGAAAAAGGAGAAAAAAAACAAACAGGAACAATAAACATGAACGAACATGCCTATCCACCAGCCTTAGCTGAAACGACAATCGTCTACCGTAGAAAGTCAACTTAGCGACTCTCTACGATTGCATGTGCTGAGTCTTCTGATACGAGTAACGTAGTAGTGTGATTGCAAGCGAACTAAGCTTTCATAGCCCTCGCGCAGCCGGGTCTGAACAGTGCTGTCCTCCTACATCAAAGCGGCGTGAAGAAAGCCCAACGGAGACCCAGCCACTTGGTTCTCAATAGCCTTGGAGGATATTGCGTGAAAAATGAATGGAGCAATATACTCTTTCGGAACATCTTTTTTTCAATGTTAGCAAAGTTGGTGGCTGAGAATTCGGACCAGAATTATTCGCTAAATAGAGCGTTACTAAATTTGAAGAGGGGCAGATGAAATCACATTCCCACCTTATCGCTCTGAGGAATGCGCGGTAGCTCAGAGCTTCCACAAATGCAGGGCAGCGACCGGTCAACAACTATAGGCACACAACAAAAATTAAGAAAGAATAATGAGCAAGCATTGATTTCCGACCAACGCAACGCCACAAGATTACCATCAAAGGAGGGATGGGACCCAAAGCGACAAGGACGCTACTACATAATAGGATTTCGGAAAACTAGAGGAAGATTCCAATTTTGGACAAACGCCATACAGCTGGGGTTACACCCTGTCCGAACAGGACGAGTAAAATAAATTTAAACATAAATTCATCAAAATAAAACAATAAATAAATTATAGCAAAGTGGTAACTGGAATTACCTGGAATTCCTTCGGTGCAACAAAGCGTAAAACTCCACTAGCACTTTGCATCTGAAGTTTCTAGAGGGTGCCTCTGTTGCGCATTCGACTATATAAGTATCTTCAATTGACTGAAAACGAATATGAAAAATTCATCCTATAACGGCCATTAAATCATCAGATTTCAACGATACACGGGAACCGGACCGCAAGTCGACAAAAAATCTACCACAAAATGTACACAATATTTATTCTCAACAGGCAGTAATGTGAAACAGTGACAACAATCTGAAATGAGATACGTTCTGTGAGAGCGGTCATACCTTACGTACCATCTACATTCGATGGAATATCGGGAACCACACTTGCGGAAAAGCAAGTCTTTCCTATGAAGTACAATCATCATCTTTAATCCTAAATACTTTGCCAAAAGAGCCCTCAACAAGCAACAGAGAGATCGAACGGCCCAAAATGTAATTTAACAAAGTACTCGTAATAAATGGCATGTTGCCTAATCAAACTCGAAGAATCTCCAACGATTTGTTAAAACAAATGCAAATCCAGTTGTTGTGCGCAGGACCCCAGTGCACTTGATTTGAGGGGCAGAATTTCCGCAGAAACGAGAATCCTACTAGCACAGAGGTTGGTATGAATTGGCAGCTTTGACAGGAGCTAAACGCCTATAGCCATGGGTGCGTAGATTTCCGTTTGAGGGAGGTGTCTTTGAAGGACCATAACTTCCTCAAAAGCGGACCTGTGGGGAAGAGGAGAGCGTATTGGTAAATTAGAAGGTTTGATCTTCCTGAAAGTACTAAAATGTTCATGAAGGTCGCGAAAATCACAGAGAAATCTGCCATGGGGATTCCTTGGGGAGTGACTTCAACTGAACAGGTTTGAATCAATATAATTTTTTTGTAACTCAACATTTCACAAATCTGAGAACGGATCCGAGCTTCTCAAGATTTTCTCTTTCTAAAAACCTATTGAACTGTTCCTGAAGCTCTCGGGATTCATGAGATCTCGCGATGGGGATTTCTTAGGGAACACTCCCAGCTGCGCGAAAAACCCGTTTCCTGTGCACCGTTTCAAGTGAGCGTGTTCGAATAGCCAGGAACGCATGTAGAACGTATCCTGTGGTGGAGCAGGAGCAGGATATGGTTCGTTTAGCGCCGATCACGCTGACTTTATGCGCCGCGCACTTGAGGTTCCGCGCAGAGGTGATGGGATGGTGCAACTTGTGCGTAATGTCTGTCCACACTAGCAAATGTGTCTATAGAGCTGGAAAAAAGTCAGAACTCGCTCATATATATGCCGATGTAGTTGAAGATTGGTTCGCTAAACTAATGCATATAAAAGCGCAGGATCTGTTCCTCTTCGTCCCGATTCGGGGGGAGGGTTGGTAGGGGCGGGACGACCGCATCTTCCCTGCTGTTGGCTCCGCCCTTCTCTGCTCATTCACCGGCTCAATTCTTGACGTCGCCTGGTAGCCAGCATGTCGCAGTCTCATCCTCTATATGGGAACGAAGAGGCATTATTGCACCTTACGCGACTGTCGTACGAATTCCAGATGGAGGTCTGTTTAGGCAATCATGCTTTATTACTACTTAGGAGAGCTTTTGCTTGTAGCAGGCAAAAGTCAGAATCTTCTATCTCATCAATAAGAAGCGCACCGAGCGATTTGTGGACTTCAACAATCAAGCATGGCCACGGAAACGAGGCTCGGATTCAAAAAAGTACTTCGTTGTCGGCAGCTCGCAGCAGGAGAATCTGCACATTGATTTCAACTTCTACGACATCGGTGAAAAAACAGCTAAGTGCTCACGCTTTATCAATTGGCCTGATTGCAATAAACCCGGATTAGAGCAGGCTTGTGAGAAGCGCATAACCCACTTCTTCCAAAAGCAAGCACATACCCATCACAATGAGCCACAGTATCAAACAATTTTCTTGCTGCTTCACTTTCCATCCAGAGAAGATCACAGCACTTTCGTGGAGGAATTCAGTTATATTAAAACCACTGACACTGGGAATACCGTTTACAGGAGCCACAAGAGGCATGTATCCCTTTCCAATCAAGCTTGGCTGTCAAGCAGGATTAAAAGTTTTGTCGTTTTCGCTCCTTCTCGGGACGGAATCACATCTATGGAAAGGGTATCCACTCTGCTCCCGAGTCACCCTCCCTTCTACATCATTCCTCGTGACTCGCTGGACGAATGCACTTCTGTTTCTTATTGTGCCCCCGGTTGGGCGCTTACAGCATCCTCTCCTGGTGCAATTAACTACTGCAGCGGCCTGAACTTCCTGTACAGTTTGACGAAAGTAGAGTCTACAGTAACGCAGCAGCCATGTACGATGGGTGATACCAATGTGAGGACAAGGTCATGTAGCCCCTCACAAGACAACCGCCAAAGTGTGATGCCTGCTATGGAGTCAATAGATTTGAGCGACACAGAAGAAACGTACACTCGTGACGAAACAACAGCAAAGAGTAAACATTGCTGCATTCAAGTCAAAGATTTGGAAAATACTATCAGTGTATTACATGCGCAACATGAAAGTATGCAACAGGAACTCCAGTTGATATGGGAAGACCTACTAGCAAAAAACTCTTTGATTGATGAAGCGCTGAATCTGGTAGGCGATAATGAGAAAAGAAGGTTCGGCTTGTACAGAAGTAGAGAAGACCTGGCAAGTTTAAAGCGAGAGCTTCGGCACATGACGATCGACGGAAGATCGCCGTCTACGAGGCAGATAAATACGATAGCAGCCTATCCCTGGCTCTCTTATTACAGAAATTCTAGTGAACCTGAAGGCGATTTCATTCGCTGCAGACTTTGCAACGCGGGAGCAGAGACCGACAAGTACGATCCTGAAGAAGACCACAGTAATTGTGCCACTACCCACCACGAAAGAGGGAAAGTGAAAAAGAACCTGCTGGGGAGGGGTTCTGTGATGTGCATCCAAAGATTTCACGGACACGAGTCATCGAAAAAAACTGGCATAGACCTCCTCATCGCTAGATTGAAATCTCATGAGGCTTCTGTCGAACACGCGTACCAAGAAAAAGAATTCGTTAGTTCGATGACTGCAGTACAATCCAGCGGCTTTAGAGATGTTGAAGCGACCATGTCATCTACGCTCACGGCGTATACCATTGCTAAAGAGGGGCTGGCATTCATGAAGCAGTTTCCCTTATTGCTACTGTGTCTGCGCTCAGGAACGACGCCCACTACAGCACACTACGACTCCAGTTCGGCTAAGAAGATGATAGACACCTTCGCGGAGCACATGAAGTATGACGTCCTGAAGTACGTAATTGGCAACGATTTGCCGTTCTCCTTGCTCGCCGATGGATCTTCGAATGACGGAGTCAAGTGGATTGTTTTTCTGATTCGCACAGTGTCCCCTATGAACCGTCCAATTACATTCCATCTAGCTCTAGTCGAGGTCGTAAGCGAGAGAGCAGATGACATTGTCAACGCACTCACGAGCACTCTTGGAGGAACTAGCTCCATGGGCGGAGATTCCTGGTCTGAGAGAAACACCTTACAACTTCTTCATGAACCGAATGGTAGCATTGTCTTCCGATGGTGCCTCCGTTATGAGCGGAGAACGTAATGGTGTACATTCCAAGTTGAAAGATCTTATAAAAAAAGAAACTGAATTTCGCGGAACACAGCAGAGAGGACTTCCTTCTTTCAATATGTGCTGCCCACAGGCTGAATTTGGCGGTGAAGGCACAAGATAATGTCGCCTTCAATCTCACAATAGCGGTTGTGATCGAAATGCATCACTTATTTGGCTCCACACTCGGAACACGAGGCCGTGCAGTTTACTCAGCCACAGCTGCGGAAATGGGGTTTCCTTTCCTACAAATGGACGCTTTGCACGCAGTACGATGGTCAGCGAGTCTGCAGAATTCTCTGTCGAAGATTCTCCGTGTATACCCCGTCCTCATTCCATGCTCTAGGTAGACTAGCCACCGACACTTCCGCATCTCCGAATATAAAGCAGCGTGCTGAAGCAGCGGCATTTGCTCTGGAGGATGGTCGCACCTTCATCATCTTACACCATGTCAATGCAACGCTAAGTCATTTCGCTAAATTTTCGGAAGCTCTGCAAGACGATGAAGCTCTCCTGATTGACTTCCTATCTCGCTGGAAGCATTTCGACTCTTTGCTCAGTCATAACTCCATAAAGGAGGCAGTGTATGATTATCTCGCTCACAGTGGCTTACTTTTAATGGCTGACGCTCACCAGAGCAAATATGAGAATGCGGATACCATGTTCTTGAAAAATTACTACCCTTCTCAATCTCACTTATACTACAATGGCATAAACTACTACCACATGAGTATTCTCGCCTTCAATCCTCGCAAATTCCCTGACTTCAGCGCAGAAAAAGTGCAACGCCGTAGTGCACAAGATGATCCACTGAGCGAGCAGAGTTTCAGAGATCTTGCCATCCCTCACTCACAGAGTGACAAACATTTTCACAAAAATGAACTACAATCAGTGTGGAAGGATCCCACCATATCCGATGCATTCATACTAGGAAGGGTTTACCGACAGATGGCGACTACAGATCAAGCAATCGTTCACATCGATCGGTTCTACGCCGATATTCGAGCAAAGTTTCGACGATATATGTATCTCAGCAGGCTTCCAACAGAACCTTTGTTTGAATTTCCTTACGCCTTGGATAGGCACATCATTCTAGATATCATAGAGTGCAACGGCAATACAATGCATTCCACAAATGTGATCTGCCAACTGTTCGTCCAGCAGATAGAGGCTACCCTATTATATGGACGAGGATGGGAATGTGGACAAGCCTCGTCGCAAGGACGCAATCCTATTATCAATGTATTCCTTGCAAAAATATTGTCCCTTAATCGGAACGCGCTCTATCTCCGAAACAGTAACACATTTCCACAACTTCTATGATTCTATTGCTGAAAAAGTAAGAGCACTCGACGAATGGCCGAACGACCTCCGCAAGGACAAGAACAGCATAAGATTTTATCAAGCACTCCTCAACAATAGCGATGCATTGAAGATCCCCCTTGTTGTCCGTCAGGTGAACTTTCTCATATCTATTG